TCTTCAGCGACCAGGAGACCCTGAACCGTGAGTACCTGCTCCCGGAGTCCGGGGGTCCACCCGCGGCTTCATCCACCACGTCCTGCGGAGAGCTAGCCTGTTAGCTGGGCTCAGCAGCCACACTAGCCTGCTAGCATTAGCACGGAGGGGGGGGGGGGTTAGGAGGTTTTGTTGTGGGGTTAACACATTTAAACTGTTTCTGTTGTCCACGGACTCTAACGATCATCTTCACCATCGAGCAGGGCGACGATTTACACATCGATCAACCGACGAGTCTGTGAAATGACAGACGATAAACATTAAGACTCGTTGAAATAACAGGTCAAACCCCAAAGATTCTATTATCGTGAATAAAACCATGAGGTCATCACATCGAGAGGCTGGAACCTGAATCACGTCGAGTTATCAGAAGAGCCGGAGGATCAATTCTCTGCTCATCCATTACTTCGATCGTTGAGCTCGAGTTTCTCTTCCAAACAGAATGTGGAGCAGTGACATCAGCAGATATCAACATGGATCAGTGTCTGTGTGAAACCCATGAGAAATGATGTAGATCTGTGAGAAACACAGTCGGACTCTCAGAGGTCGACATAGTTTCTGTGTTCGACCACGATGGGGAACTGAAAATCCTCTGTTTTGTTTTGGATCATTGAAGATTTCACCTTGGAAACTTCGCCTCAAAGCAACCGATCAACTAGTCGAGAAAATAAAGATGAAGAAAAACAATCACAAGTCGCTGAATGATTGAAACAGACATGTTCTATATGCTCATCATTAAAACTGCAGACGATCGGTTCGACTCAAGTTCAAAACAAATGAGCTTGTTTCAGTATGTTTGAGAATCTTTTACCAAAATAAGACATTTTCTAACGTCTTTTAAACCAAGTTGATTCATCAAGACTCAACAGTTGTGTCTGTGTAAACGAACTTGTTAAGTTTTCTTGCACGTGCTGCGTCGGGACTTTAACCACGGAACCTGAGGCACGGCGATCCGTGTAAGAAGTGTTGTCTCGTTTCAGCTGGGTGGCTGGTCAGAGCAGCCTCCTCCCACCATGGAGGCAGGAGGGAAGGACTGTGAAGAGGAGACACTGCAGACAGCCTTTAAGAAGCTGCGGGTGGATGCTGAGAGGTAAATCACTGCAGCTCGCGTCGTTGTTGGTGTCGCACGCTGTGTTAGTGGCTTCAGAGGTTGTGAGGTCATGAAAACCTTCACAAGTCAAGTAATGAACAGTAGGTATTTTCCAGGCTGGTAAAGGTTTTGGATTATTTAATCACACGATGTTTAAACAGAGGAATTATTAAGATCTAATAGTTACTTATGTTTTTTCCTGGTGTGATGTCTGAGTTCAGGCTTCGCTGGGACAAGAGAGAATCCTCTTCTCTCCTCTGTGACATAAACTGAAACCATTTGAACTGCTGGTCAAAAATAACCATAGCTTTTTCAAGTGTTGGTCATTTTCTTCTTGTGTTAATATTCAAGCTTCAGCCTCAGGTTTCTTACCTTCTCTCTTCCTTTCAGCGCACTCGGAGCCGTGAGTGTTTCCGAGGCGCTGGCTCCCAGAGCGACAGCGCGACCTTGTCTCGACACCGGCGGAGCGAAGCCCAAGCTCAGCTGCCCAAAGGACAACTGGCACGGGTGGGTTGAGTCGTCACGTTAACAGAACATTAACACTTAGACATGACAAGTGTATGTGAACTTGAAGTACTGATATGTTGAAGGAAGACAATGTCCCAGCTGTAACAGCAGGTTCTACATGCAGCTGTCTGTGTCTGCACCAGATGTTGGCTGTGACACAGTTATTAAAAGAAAAGGCCAAAGGGGAGATTTGTAGTTTCACTGTGGGCAGAGTGAATCACTGGCTCAGTGTGGGTGCTGTGGAAAATATGATCTGAGATTATGATTTCTAAGATGCTCTTTCTTCTCATCATTGTCTCTCCCTCCTCAGCTGTATGAGGAAAACCTCCAGAGGAGCATCCAGAACCCAGCGGCGCCGGAGGTCCAAGTCCCCCATCCTCCACCCCCCGAAGTTCACCTACTGCAGCACGGCCACAGCCTCTGCACTGACGACCTCTAGTGGCTGCCTGAAGCACCAGCGCCTGGCCGTGCCTGAGCCTGCGGAGCCTCGTCCGACGCTCGACGGCAGATCCGCCTCCTCCGCAGCTCTCCCGGCCCAGAAAGAGCTCTTGTCTTCAGGCTCCCCCGGCCACATCGCTCCCCTGGTTTTTGGATCGTGCGCTGGTTACGAGTCACGTGTTGGAGCCGTGGTTTCCTCGCCATCTTTACAAGAGATCCCCGGTGTCATCACTACAGTTGTAGAGCAGGAGGGGGGAAACTGTGGAGGTGTCCGGTCGAGGGAGGAGGAGGAAAGTGCCTGTGATGGAGCGGCGTCTGGAGCAGGAGCATCTCTAAGATCCGGACCCGCTGAGGTCGCTGACTTCCGAGCCTTATCGAGCTCTGCAGACGGCGCCCTCGTGCCCTGCTGCTGTGCCCAGAGGAAAAGCTCAGATTCACAAGAGGAGAGCGTGCAGGGCGCTGAAACCCAGTGCCAGTCGCATCATCAGGGCTGGCACGGCGTGGAGGTGTATTCCTTCACGGGGCTCCGCGATGTCATCTCAGAGTGTGAGCGGAGCCTGCCAAGCCACGGCGACGCCCACAGAACTGTCAGCACCAACAGTAACGCAGCCGCCGCAGGGTCGTCACCGCCGCTGTCGTCAGGCTCCCCCCGCTCATGTTCGGAGCAGGCGCGCGGTTACGTCGATGACATCACAATAGATGATCTTTCTGGCTACATGGAGTATTATCTTTACATCCCCAAGAAGATGTCACACATGGCGGAGATGATGTACACTTAGGAGCGTTAAATATTATTATATCAAGAGGATTAAAAGAGGTAAAGAGGATTTTTTTTTTCGTCAGACGAATGTCGCTGCAGGGGAAAGTTCACTCGTTATTTTATTTTCACTTCTTTGTTGTGCTACATTGATAAAATTCTTCTACTTCTTTTTAATTTAATTTTGAGCTAACATGAAGTTGCCAAAGCTGTTGGTGCGGGGTCGTACAGAAGGAGAGAACAGTAGAAATCACGAGTGTGATGATGTTTGTGGTGTCGTGACCTCCAGAGTTCCGTGTCTTCATGATTTCATTTCCTTCAATAAAGACGCAAAATGTTTTTGTTGGAAAAACCTGTCGTCGTCTCTTCAGTGAAATGAAGCCGTGACTGTTTCCTGTTTTACACACAGGAGACGATGTACAGAGGTGACTAACTTAAGAACAAATGAAATTAAATAGATATTACCCCAACTCCCTGAAACTCACAAACCCTCGTGAAGCTGAAATCCGGAAAACATCGAGGTGTTCGTCATCATTTTGCTCTTTCAGGTACTTTTCCTTCTGTTTGAGTTTTTCTGAAGAAACTTGGAGACGTTGACGCAGAAACACAATCGTAGAAGTTCCCTTCATATTTGCAGACAGCAGCCACATCAAAGATCAGTGTGCACGGAGACATTCTTACAAAGAAATGACACCAACATCGTGACAGTCACATTCAGACTGTGGACCCCCCCCCACATGTAAATATAAATTCATCTGAATCTCACACACTGGAGCTTTAACTTTCATATTAAAATACGTTAAAACGCTTTTATTCTGAAAGGAAGGAGGAAAACACTGCATCTAAAGCACCACAGAGAAATAAGACTCATTCATCAGGTGACTGTCAGGTGAGTCATCGACTGTCAGGTGACCGATCACATGTCTGTTCAGAGACGGAGCAGCCAATCAGAGACCCTCGTTGTGCCTCAGTATTCACACTCAAAGATTCAAGATGATTCACAGGTAACAACACGTGGAAAATGTTTCCTGGGAAACTATTAAGAGTAAGTTAGTTATATAAAATATGTAGTAATAGAATAAAATCTGAATTCACTAAATCAAATATACTATGACAGAATACTGGGTGGATATATTCTGTTGTACAATTATACTTCTTTAGAGTTTAATTTGAAATCTTCGGGGCTGGAACAACATAGAATATAAAGATGTTTAAATATAAATATTTCTGAAAAGAAATTCTGTTTTTAGTTGTTAGAGAAATTATGAGTTTGAGTAGGTTTGAAGAAGTCCGTGTTTTAAATGGATGCAGGCACACGACTGCAGAGACTTCGTTCATGTTGTCATCTGTTGTCTGCAGCTCTGTGAAGTGGAACAGTTCCACCTGCAGGGGGCAGCATGTCCTGATCCTCTCTCCTCTGGCCCACAATGATTCATCGGGGTTGGATTCTGTTTCCTCAGCAGCTCGGGATGAAAAGCATCCGCCACCAAACAGCCCAGAGCGAAACAAGTGAAGCAATCAAACCTGTTCTGGACCAATGAAGCTGCACGAAGGAACCAGAACATCTGTGTGTCTCCTCCACACAGATGTTCTCCCCACGAGAACATCAACATCTGGGATTTCTACATCTCTGAGTTCTCATTTCAAAGTTCAGATCACACTTTGTGTTGCTCGTCTTATTCTGTGTTTATTCATCTTCCTGCCTCAGACTCATCTCTGCAACAAAAGACGTAAATGAGGTTTGAATTTGTATCTGATGAACAAACTGTCAAGAAAAAGTGCTGATGAGCGACATGACTTCACGTCAGGAGGTTTAAACTAGCGTTACATGTGTGAGGCCTAAAATCAGACACAGGCAAATATAAATATACAGAACGTACTGTAAACTGTTTCTTATACTTTCATGTCACAACCGTTCTTCTGGAAGAGACCCTGAAGTATCACAGCTCACTAGTGTGAAATCTACTGAGTCACGAGTCTGTTTCTGATCAACATCCTGAAAACCTCCAGAGTCGAACCCTCATCGACACCTCGTTCAAGGAACAACAACAACAACACTAATAACAACAACAACAACAACAACA